CGCATGCAAGGATAGCGAAATAATATAAAATAGAGACTAGCAAGAACGTCTAATAAGTATTGAGCGTTTGTTTTTGCCTGTATTCAACTTATTCTCTTTGACATATGGGAATATGTTGAATTCAGGCGACACCTCGATGCTGCCAAAGTATGGGTAAACAAATCAAATGTCTCGACTTTTTTATTTCCTAACTCTTTGTCATTCGTCATCTTTTACATTTTCTTGCTTTACTTACCGAGTTTGAAATTTAAAATCAAGAAGAATTATTGTACCAACAATTCCGGCCTACCTGCCATGTCACGTATTGGTATGTGCTTTACGTGTGAAAATGTAATGCTTTTCGATCTTAGAAGAGCCATGATCGACTATTTAGAATGCCCACCGGCTAAGGATAAATGCCTGTAGGATAGTAACGCTAATTTTTATCGTATTTTCATTCTTTAATTTTTCTTTCCTTTGGTCTGTTGGTAAAGGTACAGAACAGTCCGTTTTAGAATAAGACGATTATGAAGAATCAGCTTTCGAATAAAAGCATTTGACGTGATGGTTTATCCTAAACATAGTTCCACACATTATCGCACGTTAGTACAGGAAACACCGCCTGCAGGGACAGTGGGAAAGAATCGTGTTCCACAGACACGACATATTAGCCCTAAATGCTACGCAATAAGCCTTTAATCACTTCAGATTATAATAAAAAAAGGATTTTGTAGATTTGATGATGTTTTCGAAGGTCTCAATGATGGTTCCGAAATGATCTCGGGCACGAAGGACCGAATCTACTTAATATTAATCGAACTAAAATATTGTTCTTGGTGTCTATTTTCAATTTCTTTATTCTCAAACTGTTTGTTTTATGTGTATATTTTATAACTTATTTTCGGAAATGGAGTAGCTTGGTTCACTTGAATTAATCAGATGGGTCATTCGGTCACGGGCGAGCTGTAGCTTGACGACCTCTGATCTAGGGTAAAATGTTTAGCTTTTCAAATGTATTTCAGGCGTTGTCGTACATTGAAAACAACCTGTTTTCTTGTCGATGATAGTCACAATAAGGTTCTCTCCATGTTATCATGTCACGGAAACCACACAAAAAGCCTCTAAATGATTGCTTTATGGCTTGTAAAGTTCCTGTGATGATGGTGCTTAGAATAATGGCTTTTTTATTGTTTGGTTTTGCTAAACATGCATAAATAAATAAAATAATCTTGCAAATGTATTTTTATTCCAATTTCTTTAGACTAAGGAAATAAATTCTATGACAAAGTAAAATGAGCACATTCTTTCTTTGAAAGAATAGACGTCTAGTCTTTACAAATCCAGGCTTTACTAAAGTTAAATATTTTACTGATGCGACGAATGCACGGCATTTTTACATCCATCTAGGCAAAGGAGATATTATATGGTAACCCAGGGGATACTGTATGGTGCTGTACAGTAAAGTATGAAAATGTACTAGATGTAGGTATGCCTTAGTTCTACGATTTAGGAATATGTGATATTGATATGCCGGTAAGTTAACAATAAAAATCTGAAGCAAATTCCCTTTAAATGATTTATTACCAGATGTTGTCTATAGATCGGTAAGGCGCTGCTGAACGTCATTCAAAGCCGATCAAAAATGGGCGGGATAATAAGCCGTTTTAAAGAACTAAGAATCGAGCTTTCGGACTTGGCTGGTTACAGCAATCCAACGATTTTGAAATTATTCTTTTCTAATCCAACAAAAGAAAACACTTTTTAGACTATAGAAGGTGGCTTTCTGTGAAACCATAGTGAACGAGATATGTACACACACAATGCACATGGATTAGCTCATATGCCAAGATTGCTTTCAGCATTAACATAAAAAAAATGGTCCTTGAGCTTGTCATTTTACATTGATTTAGTAAAAAGTTCCCAGTCTAGAGCTAATCCATGTTTTGTAAGTGAAAGAAGTTACGAAAATTCTAAAAAAAGTAACAAATGAATCTTTTTGCATTGGCCTAACTTATTCTTGCGATGTCATACGATTATATCATTGAAAAAGTAAAATCGTAAGAGGCTGTCAAAATAAGCTTGGCCCGAAAGAAAGGAAAACAAGGTTGCGCTTGCTCGTATAAGACTAACTGTCATTAGCTATTAATTCTGTATTCTTAATTTTAGAAAGTGTAGAAAATTGGGTTGAAAATAAATATAGGGAAGGGTGTTTTCCCCTTTTTTACTTCGTGAACAACAATTGCTTTCAGTATTCATTTGGAGAGCATTTCTTTCCTTCATTCTTTCTTTCTGTCGTTCATGTACGCATGAAAAACCTAAACACAAGTTAAGCTTGAAATCCAGTATATAGATCTTTAGATGCCGCATTATAAGTAATCATGTGATGATATTATGTTAGCTTAGGTCAGGTTTTCTTTCATGTCTTTTTTTTTTTGTATTTGTCGCAAATTCGCTAATGTCGTGTTGATATTCCGTACGTATTGTATTTGTTCAAATTCGTGCTTTAATAACAAATTTTTTATTATAATTTAGAGAATTTGTTTTAATGACGACACTTTATAGAAAAACAACAAGTATTCCTTTAAACGTATGATAAAAGAACGAAACCCAAAGTAGCGTTACTCAGACATTCACGTAAATAAAATTAAAACATGTTTACACATATATGCTTGCTAATGTACGTACATCATCTATACAAAGTGAGGTGAAAAAGGAATTTGCAATAAAATGTTTTATATATGTATCACTTAAGAGAAGTGAGTTGAGGAGAAAGAAGAAAACTAGGACACAATATAACATATACAGAATCCAAGTAGTCTCGTAAGCAGAATTATACCATTGTTGCCAATTGTTCATGCTTAAGAACCTCATGTGCACTGCTCTCTGCTTCATTTGACTTGAATATTATTACTCGTTGGAAAAGTAAAATACTTCAAAAGCTAAGGAAGTTTTTAGGAATAAAAAAAAAAAAAAAAATCATTTAAATGTATATGACTTTACTATACGAAACCATATAACATTTATAATATATAATATGAAATTATTTCATTTGAACGAGTTTTTTGTGTTCCTTAAGACTTCTCGAAATTTCCGATCATTTTATTATATCTAGTAGTCAGAGAAGAATTTTTTTATAAAGACCTAATGAAAATCAAAATTGTCGGGAGGAGGTGGTACGTATTAGAAATGACACATATACAAATATATACCATACAAATATATACCTATACGTGTATATATATATATATTCCTAACATACATATATATGTATATGTACATATATATACTTTCATATTGCTTATACTTATATGTATTGTCTATATATATAAACATATCGATATATCTATATAATATATATACATACAGATTAGATATATATTTGAATATATACACATATAGACTATACACACTCTGTATATAATATATACGATTCTATAATATATAATTACATATAGTATGTACATGCGTTACATATAAATGCGTTTATATATTATAATACATAAGCATATGTTTATATATTGGATAAATGTATAAATGTACATACATACGTGCACATACATCTATGCAGATATTTATATACGCATAGATATATAAATATAAGCGTAAATATTATACACGTATATATCCAATATATATCTATAATATATATGTTTATACAATTCACATACATATATACTACTTATGTATATACAATACATATATATATATATATCTATATGCAATTTCCAGAAGGTTCACTCTCGTTGCCGAACTACGTTTTCAATGAATTTACATCAAGTTTTGGTCACACATTGCATCATACCTGGTTACCAGTGCAGTTAGAGCAATTCAATATATAATCGGGAATTTTTCATGAGAGTTTTATAGGAAAACCGACAGAGAAATACAATCACTCTTTTTTCACAGACTGCGTGATATTGTTCTTAAAGACTCACTTTTGAACGCAAGCAGTTCTTGTGACTATACGCTTCTCACGCCTTGAAAATGGCTGAGCGATAAATTCCAATCATCTCTAAAATTCTCGAACGGCCATAACTATTTTTTTCTTTACTTTCTATATTGCTACGGCTTCTTTCAATTGCACAAATGTCTCATAAAATTTATTTGCATTTATTTTTTTTCGTTTTATTTTTCAAATTATAAAAAGTTTAAACAAAAACTCACTACAGCTCGCAAGCAATATCTACGACTTTCTGTGAAGAAGAAACGATAAAACTGATTTGATTGAAACATTGACATGACAAACTACGAAAGGCCAAGAAAGTTAGTAGGCCGTGCGCAATGTTCTTATGTTCTATAGTACGTATAGTACAGTAGAAAAGCTTCCTTTTACACTGATTTCAATAATTCATTCTTGAAACCATTGTAAGTTACACTATTTTAGGGCACCAACACTTTAATGCTCTAAAAAATGCACTCTTCGTATAAAAAAAGCATTTTGGAGAATTTGTACGCAAGTATTTCTAATCCTTTTTTTATTTGCCGTTTTCATGAAATTTCAATTGCAGTTACGTCAGCTGCCTGTTATGATTGTATTATCTACAGTGTTGGGAATTATGAAGTAGGCCTTTGCTACTTGTCAAAATCATAATGCATTTGTATTGTGTCTGTCTTGAGCTTTCGGCTCACACATCGAATGAAACACAATTGAGAATTTTTTGTTCGACTTTGGCCGATTCCCTCCTACCCCTCTCTGTCTACCTCTCTCTCTGTGTCTCTCTATTAACCGCAACTTTTTGCACTGACCACATAGAAAAATGTTTGTTTCACTTAAACATTGCTGGACGGTTGAAGTTTTTACTCCCTTTCTTCTACTTTCTTAACAACAGAAAGCAGGCGGACAGCCGGACAGACGTAACGGCAAACATAGAGCTAAGTCGATTCAGAACTTTGCCTGATAGTTGAGAAGCATATTTTTTTTTTTTTTTTTTTGATATCACAAACTGATTGGCGAGTATGCATTTAATACATTTACATATACTTATTAAGATGAAAAAAATTTTATATTAATTCACACTTACCATCACACGATAGCGTTACATCAGCCAAGAGATCCGATTTGAATAGATTTGAGAATGTTATCGCCAAATTTGATGAATAACTATTCCATTTCAAACAAAACTGTTGTTGCGGATCCATCTTTCTTTTATTTGCGTTATTACAATTTTCTTGCCAAAAATTTTCACCAAAAATATCCAAATTCTTCAACGTCGATTATTAATTTCTTCAAAAAAGAATGAACCAAAATTTTTACAAAATTTTGAATTTTTCTCTTTAGATTTTCAGCAAACAATCCAAATGCTCCATGTGGTGTTAAATAATTTCGTTTTTCGCGAAGTTTCTATGCGATGTGAGGATTTTTATTAAAAAAAAAAAAAATTTTTTTTTCGTTTTTTTTCTTTTTATGTTAACGTTGTGGCCAAACCGTAAATTTTGAAATTTTGTGCAACTTTCTTCTTCGCGTTGTACGCTTGCGACGGTTGCTTGTCTTCAAGTTTTCCTGATAATGATGCCAAAGGGAATTTTTCTTTAAATATTTGTGTTTTTTAAGCATAAAATGCGTTTTTAGCATTTAAATGCTGATATCGTAGCCTGCTGCTATTATATTTTATGAAGCTGACGTGACGTGGGCTTGTTGTTGTTCTTGCTGTTTGCTGATGCTGATGTTTGAGAATATTTTTTCACAAAATAGGGCGAATGCTTTTTTCTTTATTTATTTATCTATTTTTTTTTTTTGTTTTTTTTTTAATATTTTTTTATTCTTAATTTTGATATATCCGTCGCCTATTTTCTCACTTATGTTGATAGTAGCGCGACAATTGCTGCAACGAAAATGACAATGGCAAGAAAAAAAAAAAATCAATCATATTTTCAATGCAAATCAGATAAGAAATTCATTTCACTTTGTGATTAAAGAAATGAAGGGTGAATTGTTTTCGAGTTTTTGAAAATTAAAAATTTAAAAAGGAAAAAAGAAGCAATAACAAAGGCGGAGAGTTTTTATAAAGCTTGAAACGAATTTATTAAACTGTAAAATATGTAAAATATGTAAAATATTTAAAAGTTTATGTGGAAAAATATATGATTTTTGAAGTAAAAGCAAATATCTTATCCTACCAAGAAGAGAGAATATATTATAGAGGGTCACGGATCATCCTTAAGTACCCGACATAAAAACTAAGGCTTTATATGAACAGTGTTCGAAAAGGTAGTCCGATTCGAACCGATCAATAACTTTCCTCTTCGACCATAACACAAAGCTGGTGGCAGAAGTTCATGGATAGTTGCAGAAATTTAAAAAAAAAAACCATTTACTTCCTCTTCTTCTATAAACCATGCGAGTCGTGTTGTAAAAAAAGTAAATAGTAGACAGCATATATAACCGATTTTCAGTGCTGGAATATACCTTGAAATTGAAGAAAATAAGTCAAATACCGAGGTAAGCTTTAAAAGACTTAAACTTATCTTATTATATCAAGGATACGCAGAGTTTAAGTTAATTGGAATCGGAAGCAAAGATTCGCACTACTTGTGGGGGATTCAAATTCTGATTTTAAGAAGACGTTAACTTGTAATAACGTGCTCAGTAACACTTTGCAACATCATATAAAAAACTAAACCATTGCACTTACCCGTGCTTCTCGTACAAGAATGCTAGTTTGCCTATTTTCATAGAGTTTTACATAAACTAACTTTGATTTTCTTATACTCACCAACTTTGCCATAGAAAGTAAGAAAATAACATTCGACTGGGAGTAGTTAAGGCAGATATCCTCATTACAACGATGAACAAAGACTAAGAGACAGAATGCTGTATACTCTAAAGTGTCTCTGCAGATGCCTTCGGGGTGTTGCAAGCGTTTCCAAAAAAAAAAAAAACATACATCTATCCTTCGATATGTTTGAAAAAAAGTCACCACAACCACTAAGACTTTATCCGTCATCCGGATTTAAGTAAAAAAAATTGCATTCTTGGCATCAACCGGTTCGGTTAATTTTCGGATTCGACCGGAGGACTTTAGTAAAAAAAAATCGAAAGACGAAAATTAAAAAATGTTTTGATACCGAAACATGCAAGAAAACTAATATAGATATTGCGGCATGTATGGATAAATCTAGTAATCGAGTAAGCTACCATTCGGATTCTGTCTAATGAACCAAAATTGCTTACATCCATCGATCTTTAAGCGATCGTTTCAAGGCGTTGGCCTTAATTGAAGCAAATAGATAGAGGAAAACATAGTCTGTTTTAATAAGAGGATAGAGCGGCCAACATGTTTAAATTAAAGCACTTTAAAAATTTAGAAAATTTAGTCTAGTATACGCGCTGTAGCTATACCCCGCAATAAGTGCATTGCGACTTTCTACGAATTATATTAAATATGATGCCTTAAGGTATTTCGAATCAATATAGTGGAAATAAAATAAAGGGTCGTAAAAAACAGTCATGGGATCATGGGATGATAAATTCATTTAAAATGCGCAAATTTCCTCATACTCCTATCTTTATAAGTGTAGGGATGATTGTATGTTTCCCTTCTTTTTATATATATATATATATATATGTTTTTAATTATGGTTTATAGTTTTATTTTTGTAAGTTTGTACGTAGCAGGGCAACGTTTGGTAATTCTATATTTATTTGATACCGTTTTCCTTAATAAATATCGATTTGTTTTTTCTTGAGCTGTTTTCTTCCTAAAAATCTTAGCGTTGAAAGAAATAAAAAAACAAGAAAAAAATCCAAAAATAAATTAAACGCAAATATTCGAAAATGAACTGAAATCGGTTGAATGCAGCTTTAAGCTTCGTAAATGTATGTGTATAAATATATATGCACGCATACATATATGTGCCTATAGAGACACACTCGGTATTTGGTTTAATTCCTAGAATTTCAAGTTCTAAACCGAAATCAAATAACTGCCGACTTAGCCTCCAGCGTTAGGTTAAAGTAGTGGAAAGAAGGCCCATAAAAAGGAAAAAGAGAAAAAAAAAAAGCACAAAATTACACATACACATACACACACACACACACACACACACACACAAAGATTAAAGCGAAGCCATCAAAATTGTAGCAGTTGCATCGTCTTCGTTTGTTGTTGCTGTTGCTTTAATTTGTTAAATAGCCTTGACAAAAACATTCTTGCCTAGAGTTTATCTCCTTCCTTTTGTACGTATATCCTATCTCGCAAGCTATATTCCGGTTAAGAGGAATTCCCAGAAACTGCAGGTGATTTTTGCAATCGTATTTACTCTCTTTAAAAGCATCAGCAAAAGAATATAGCAAAACCATGTGTCGTTTGCTATTGCGTTTCCGCGAATTTGTTTAATCGTTAGAAAAATCAACCAAAAAGAAAGATGCAAACGTAAACAAGAACACAAAAACAAAGAAGCAAAAAAAAAAAATAAAAAAACAACTACTTTTAAGCTTTAAGTAGCTTGACTTGTTTAGAAGTCATCACTTGCTTGTTATGCTTTATTCCCTTAAAACAAACGCACATTCGTTTTTATAATTTTACGTGTTCACTGAATGTGCACTATATAACGATCATCGTGATGCCTGCCTTATCGTTTCTACTGGCAACGGTTGTTTCTGGTTTTTTTCTTTCTTTCTTTTTTGTTTTTTATTTTTTTTTTTTTGTTTTTGTCGGTTCTCTGCACAAATATCGGTTAAGCTTTATTTAGAATCATAATATATACACAAACAATCCGCTAAGGAATTCCTCAGAATTTTCGCAACAATAGTCTATATATTCATACCCGTGAATGCATGTGAATATGTTTGTATGTATGTATTTATGAAATAATAGCCTTAGGGCGCAGTAGTTTTGCATTATGGTATTAAGGTTTCTCATTTCTTTGACTTTGAAGAGGGTTACGTTTTCATTTTTTTTTTTTTTTTTTTTTTTTGTTACGTTTTACTTTCTGCAAAAGAGTTTTGGTATTTAAAGTACCGTTAGATGTGGAACGCCTACAAAATGCATGCACAAACCGAAAGAAGATAAAGAGAATGTAAATAATTATACATATATATTACGTGGACTGAAACATGGCATTAGTAAGGATTGTAATGATTTAGAAGCTACTTGAAGCAAAAATTTCTCTCCCTTCCTCTCTCTCTCTCTCTGTTTCTTCTCATGTTATAGAAAATTATAGAAAATTGTTTAACACATTTATGCAAGATGTAAAGATGATCGTTGAAAGGTGCGGCAATTGTGTCTGCGAGTCATCCGAAATGGTGTCTAAGGATCGTGTCTGCTAACGTTGTCTTGGTAATCTTACGTAAAACAAATGAACAGTCGGGGTAGATAAGAATGGCTTGCGGCTTCAGACCCCAGTGTGTACTTTAGTGAATGAATAGTCAGCAAATGTACGCAACCACTAGGGTGCAGCCACTCTTCACCTCTTTCCTTACTTCTTCCTATCCAAATGAAAAAGAATAATAACTAAGCGTTTTAAATACAATTGAATCGAAATTAAAGATATATCTCTCGCACAAGTTGAAGGTGTTAAGTTGATTTTTTAACATCCAACTTTTCTACACTTTCCAACAGTCGAGGTAAGAGGATAAAAATCTCTTTCATATGACGTTATCTTATTTAAAGAAACAAAAGTCAACGCAATCAAGAGAAGCAATCTTACGTATATATATACTGCTCTTATCAATTTTTTGCCTCATTTCCTCATTCTTCAAAAATTATATTCGGCTATGGCCACACTTTAGAAACAAAAGGGAACAAAAGGAAAAACATAAAGGCCACGATAGGTAAGAAAGTCACCATTTAAAGTCTCCAGAAAAGATAAAGTTTTGATACTCAATAGCATTGGTCCCGCTTTGGCCGATTTTCTTAATTTTGGTGCAGATATTATAGGATCACGCAGGGAGTTGTATGTGAAAATTTTTAATATTTATCCATGTTTTGTTACTTTTGAAAATAGAGCTCTTTTCAGTTTATAGTGTACTTTAGGTGTGTAATCTATTAAAAGTTTTGGCCCACTACAAATATTGTTGCCAAACTTCAGCTGAAGATCTGATTTTTGCGATCAGGACAACGTTTTCAACGTACAGATGTAGAATACATATAAGCAGGAATATATATACCTTAAAGGGTTTCTAAAAGTTTCTTTCGTGTGTTGCATAACAACCCGGATTTTTATTCGGGAAGAAAAATTTCCCTTGCAACTCCTACAAGAAATATCAAAAGACTTGATTAACTTTCTTACGCATCTTGCTATGCATTTCTCCATTTCGTGCAGGTACTGTAGCATTTCCCACAGAATATACCGCCCATTCCTCGGTGATGGGTATAAAATTGAAAATTGTATGAGTTATGTCACTTGTCTTCAAAAACCGTGTTTCGGGAAAAATGCAATTACATTGTCAAGTGTCCCATGCTGCCACATCATGAAATTGCAGCCTGTAGGTTCAACGCAAGAAAACAAGATGCACAGACGAACATACAAGGTGAGATCGATTCAAAAAATGAGTGTTTATCGATCAATGTAACGAAAGATGTGTCTTATCTCAAATCATTCTGGGCGTTGCGTACGGAGGCACAAGCCTAATACACTCTCGTGTCACAAGTGTTGTAGGGTACAGCAGTTAGAAGGCGGTGAATTTATGACTTTTATTTCCCTAAGGATGCTGGGAGAAATCTGAGAATTGAAATTTTCAAACGAAACCGTTTCCATTGCTCCCCCATGAATACCTGGGACAATACCTGCACATACATTGCATCAACAATAGACGTCAATCAGCTTCTTACTTTCATTGTTTACATATTATTATAAGCGTTGGCATTTTAAATTACATTAT